GTACATCCCCAAAGTCCCGATTAGGCTCAAAATTATGGAATTTGAGTTGTGGGCATTTTTAGCTTCCTCAATCAGCCTCTCCTACAACTACAACTATTGCATCGCAGAATAACCCCCAAAAGCCTTGTTCCTTCTCATACTGGACATGTTTGTCACCAGCATTTTCTCATAAAGTCAATATTTTATTTTTCTTTATCAGCTGTTTTCTCAAAACGCAATTTTTCTCTATACTTTTTTAAAATAACTCCACCATTGTTCATCCAATCGTCATGAAATTTTCACAGAATGAAGAGAAGATGTAATGCTAAAAATTAGAACTTTTGATATGGGATCTATGGAATAGATTTTAGTTTGTGGTGTCTGGAGTGTGGATTTTCACGGATTTTTTGCAAACTTGAATACTACCTCAGGAAAAAAATCCATTAAAAACTTTCTAATCCGTTTCGGAAAAAAAAACAGATACATTGTTAGATCTAGATCTAATCTTTGTTAACACGCATGCAAAAAAACCAACAAAAAAAACCCAACCAATTCCCATGTGCAATAAGGGCGATTTTCATTATGTAAGACCTGTCAACAAATCCAATATGGCTGCTGCATCCATGGAAACGAAACTTTTTTTCTCAAATTTGATTGCTGATTTTAATACTCCTTACTATGCTTGTTATATGGATGAAGTTTGGTAAAATTCGATCCACTAATAAGCGAGATAGCCTTCAGGTGTAGCCCCCCTTTAAAGAATTTAAATATCTCAAAGGCAACCAAAATAATAATACGATGCATTTTAGAAAACTGTGCTGTCAACGTGACTTCTATGGCTGCCAATACTAGGCAATTATCAAAGATACTGAAATTAAACTGGCACAGCAACGGAAATGTGTTCCTTAAGCAGACTTTTGAAAATGTTATGGGGGGGGGGGATCAAATTATGATGATCAGTAGCCCTGAAAGAAGCCCACGTGGACTGCGCACTGATAAAAACAATTAGGAAGAGACACAGTGCGCTCATATGACCTTATGCAGTTGCGAGCGCAGTAAAACCCTGTACTACTACTGGACAAAGTGCGATTCCTGAGACAATATAATATCGACCTATATAATATACTAAAGGCATTGAACGTCTGGTTCTCACCGAAAAAAAAATGAAGGCAAGATTGAGGCAGCGGTGGGCAGGAACAACTTACACATAGTAGAGAACTTAAACAGATTGGTGATGGAGAAAGACCAGGGAGATATTAGGGTTTTCTTATGGTGGGTTGGGGGGCGGGGGTTAGTTTTTGGGGGGTTAATTTTTTTTGTTAACCATTTCTTGTTTCAAATTTAATTGTGTTATTCACTTTCTTTT